CTCGGAAGCCGATACCTCTTTTCACTTTATCTTTAGACAGTTTTTGCCACGCTATCCAGTGAATACCTCGATTTAACCAATCTGAGCTCCACCAGTATCTTGTCGCCGCCCTAGTTAATTTTGCCATAGTAGCTTTTGGTAGCCGAAAAAATGACATTACAAAGGTGGGTATCGCGGATACCACCGATTTGATTAGCACTTCTAACCTCCTTTCGACAATAATCGTGACGTCTAACTATTAATCCGATTGTGTTGCCTTTCCGTTACGAAATTGAAATTTTTTGTTTTGGCGCCATCGATGCTCTCCGGGATACCTAGATAAGATCCCGTTCATCCCTGTCTAAAGATACCTAAAATCTGTGTAACCTCAGTTTTGACTTCCTCTAGAACGGCATGACCAAATTAAACTGAGGATTTCTCGAAATTTATTTGTTTTCCGGATACATGCTCATATTGTTTCAATATGGCGATAATCTTCTGGCATTCATCTTTATTCGCTTGGCAAAAAAATAGATTGTCATCCGCAAAAAGTAAGTGTGAAACTGGTGGACTTGTACGTGCAACCTTTAATCCCGTCAATAATTTTTCTTTTTCCGCTTTCTTTATATTCAATATCAAAACCTCTGTGCATAGAATAAATAAGTATGGAGACAAAGGATCGCCTTGACGAAGGCCCCTCCCCGGCGTTATCTGTCCCTTGGGTTGTCTATTTAGGAGCACTCTATATTTTACCGAAGTGATACACTGCATCATTCAGTTTATCTATTTTTCCGTAAAACCAAATCGTTGTAAAAGTTCTTGAATGAAGGACCATTCTACCCTATCATAAGCTTTGCTCATGTCCATCTTGATTGCTATATATTTATGCTTGCATGATTTGTTAGTCTGTAAACCATGAAACATTTCCTGAGCAATCAGAATATTACCCGAGATCAGTCGTCCTGCCACAAATGCTGATTGTGTTTCCGATATCAGATTCGGCAATAATTTTTTAAATCGTTGACATAATACTTTCGATATGATCTTGTAGCCCACATTACATAGACTAATAGGTCATAGCTCTGTCATCCTTGTCGGTCTGTCCGTTTTTGGTATTAGACAAATATTTGTCATATTCAACCTTTCATCAAAACTTCCCGTCTCCAGAAAACCGTTAACTAAGCCTAAAATATCCTCCTTTATAATTTCCCATGTTCGCTGATAAAAAAAGTGCTGGCATCCCGTCTGGTCCCGATGCTTTCTCCGGGTGCATCATAAATAAAGCACTGTGTACTTGCTCCTCAGATGCTTAAGCCGTTAGCCTCTCATTATTTGCGTCCAATATTAATGGTTTTATCTCCCCCAATGCTTCCTCAAAAACTGTAGGAGAATTTGAGACGAATAGATCATTGAAATAATTTACCGCCACTTGTTCAATTTTTTTATCTGGGATAAACCATGCTCCTACCGCATTGTGTAATCCAACAATTCGGTTCCTCGCTCTACGCTGCTTGACTAGAGCATGACAGAATGTTGTATTCTTATCTCCCTCCTTAGCCCAGTGCGTACGGCTTTTCTGTTGCCAAAATAGTTCCTCATCGCGATAGGTTTCTTTTAATTTTTTGTAACCTCTATTAGTTCCTCCTCCGAACTTGTATCATCATTCTGAAGTTCCTCTAGGCTCTGTTTTATCGCATTAATTTTTTCCTGCCCATACGGCTGTCCAGATTTCCTCCATTTTGATATTTCTTTCCTATAATTCCGTACTTTATCCATAAAAAAAGAACTCCTCACCGCCAAGATTAATTCGCCATCCTTTCAAAATTGAGTCCATTAAACCATCTTGTCCTATCCATCTTTTGTCAAACCTAATTTGTGAATTTTTCCGAGGGATTTTGTTCTCGATTGTTGCTACAATCGGCCTATGGTCTGAGCCCACCATTGCTAGATATTCAACAAATGATGGGGGAAAACCTCATGCCAATCTTTATTTGCTAATGCTCGATCTAGTCTACAACGAACGAGTTTCGAATTTTGTCATCCCCGCCAAGACATTTTATTTCCTAGGCATGGAATTTCCAAAAACCCACAATCCCGAATCATCAAGTTAAAGGACACAAAAGTAGATGCATGTCTTAAGGCGCCACCTTATTTTTCATCATTACTAGTTATTTCATTCAAATCGCCAATTATAAACCAGGGATCCATCCATGTTAAACTTACTCTTGTTAATCTTTTCCAAACTTGATCTCGTAATTTGGGGACCGGCTCTCCATAGACAAACGAGAGATTAACTTTTTTCCCATGGACAACTGTTTCTATATCAATAAGTCTATTATTGGAGAATAAAATTGTAACATTAAAAGTATTATCATAAAACAAGGCTAGTCCGCCACTCATATCACATGGTTCAATCGTGTACAATTTATTATAACCAAAATGCACCTGAAATTTTTGTAAAAAGGAAAAATCTTGTTTCGTTTCCGACAAAAACATAAACTCAGGTCGATGCCTCTTCCACACCTCTCTAAGATAACTTATTGACCAATGACTCCCTAAACCTTGACAATTCCAGCTAAGAATCTGCATAAATCAACGACATCATGGTTTTGACTCCATAATCGGGTAATGAACCCTTAGTTCCGCCAGTCGATGCCTCTTTGCCATTCTTGCCCGATACTTTAGCAACCTGTTTCTTCTGAGGAGATATCAGCGTATGAACGAGCCGCTTTTTGGAGTTTCCGGCCAGAATCTGCGTTGCAGGTTTAAAAGGCTTTTTCTTTGCTCCTTGTTTGATGACCTTCCCTTCCTTTTCTGTCCCCTGTTTCACAAAATCCGAAGATATTGCATCTTTACCACCTCCATCGACCTCATCACTCATGTTCTTTGCTTCTGGGTCCTCAAACATCGGCTCCATTACTTCTGAGTTTTCAACCAACTCTCCTTCCTCCGCTGCAAAAGTTCCATCTTTTTCCGCCATGATTTCATGCTCTCCATCCGATCCCACTTCCTTCACAATTGTATCACCTGTAATCACCTCACTCAACATTGTGTCCTCAAAATCTTTACCTGAAAAGTTGGTGATTTCCGCCAGCCAGTTCATGTTTTCGATATCCATCAAATCTGACTCCGTAGATACAAAGTTAGGTAAACCCTCTTCCTCAAAAGATAGACTTTTCCTCACTGATTTTCCAGAAGTAAAAGCTGCATTACTTCTACCTGGGCTGACTTCCTGTGTATTTCATAAAATATGTATGAAAGAAGATGATTGCAGGAAAGATAGAAATCAGTAAGCAAAATCGAAATAGATTCTAAGTAAGGATTGGATTCTTAATAAAGAGATTGCAAGGGAGAAACCCACAATGAAATAAAATCATTTTGTTTTCTCATATTTATACACTTTCATTTTGAAATTTCTGTCGGGATTTTTTTATTGTCAATAAAATTTGTTTCCTTTTTATCCAAAAAGATCTAATTCTTAATTTGATTTTTGGGTTTTGCAAATAATAAACATTTCTTGACAACATTTGACACATAATAATTAATGATTATGTGTTTTCAATTCAGATAAAATCAATAATATCTAGCGCTTTAACTCATTTTTTGGAAACAAGAAAAAAAGCAATATGCATTATAATCTATAAAATTTATACCAATAAATATTTTTACAAAATAATTTCACTTTTAATTGAAGATGGGAAAAAATTCTAATTTGGCAAATTAATTTCTTTACAAAAACATTGTAGCACAGATTAATTCCTAGTATCTTATATATAAAAGTTGCTCAACTCTCTCCATATGAGTGACACATCAGCATTTGAAAATTGATATGGGAATGATATGTGTCATTTTAAAGAAAATTAATTAATAAATTTTAAATGTTAAACCACTCAAAGAAAATGAAAAGTTTTTTTAATTGATTATTAAATAACATTTATGTAAATATTAAACAGGAATTTATGTTATAATTAATTAAAAATTGATGTTTTAATAACTTCTTAATTTTTAATGATATTATATTTTTAATTAATTGATTTATAATAAAATATTATTAAATGATGATCATATTTTTTTAAAAAAAAATTACAAAAATATATAAATTTGAAATAGTTGAAGAAAAAATCTATTTAAAATTACAGTTTTCAAAAAGAAAAGTAATTAATAAATTTTAATTTTAAATTTTAAACTACTAAAAAAAAAATCTATTAATTAATTTTTAAATAACATTTATTTAAATATTAAACAAGTATGTTATAATTAATTAAATATATTGATAGATAATTAAACAAGAATTTATGTAAATATTAACTTTTGATTTTTAATGATATTGTATTTCAAATTAATTGATTGATAATAATATACTAACACATAAAAAATAATGTTTATATTTTTTAAGAAAATATAAAAATATATAAATTTGAAATAGTTGAAGAAAAAACCCTGCACGTTACGTGCGGGTATTCACCTAGTATATAAAATGAGTTTCGCTCTGATATGATAAGTATGCTAATTTGGCTTTGCATTGATTACATTTTTTTGGTAAACCATTGTTTATTTCCCAAACCGTACAGTGAATTCATTTGGTATGTGTTTCGATTTATTGATCTTCATGATACCAATTAGTCCACATCGTAGTTGTTGAAAACACAAAATTAACTTATCTAAATTTGATGCTCCTAAAATTTATAGCAAAATTTGGCGCCTAAAGCCTTCGTTTTGCGAGCTTTAGCTCAGAGCCAGCCATGTGAGTTGAATCTCCAAGTGGTTATTGAAGCGTACATCTTGCCCTCTGCCGTGAAATCGTGGTCGGCGAGTCATGAAGCAGGTTTAAAATTTAAATGCAGCGGGTACGGGTGCAAGAGTTTATGGTTTACAGTTTCAAGCGTTGTTAGAACTTTTCGATGATGAACACAGATTCTAAATAGTCTTATGCTTTTTTTTTCTGTTATTCCTTTAATGTAATTGAAACTACTTTTAATGCTAGAGATGTAATGAAAGTATCCAGATTTGTTAAAGCTTCCTTTTATTTCGTAGTAGAACACAATGAAAAACTTAGCATTAGAATTAAACATCAGGCTCATGTATTTAGGCAAACTACATTACCAAAATTACACAAAATCTCGTACACTTAAAGGATAACCTGAAGAAGCTGTGACGGTGTTGCTGCTGGGTCGAGCTGTCTGCAACCTCTGGGTGCATCGGATGCTTCTCGACCTGTAAGCAAGAATGACGGTATCTGATGAGAGAATCTTGAAATCTCTTCCTTTGAGATCCTTCTGATTTCTTTAGGATCGAGATGATGGTGAAACACGGATTTGAAACCAGCAACTTTAACCAAAGGAACCACTGATACACCATATTCCTCTGTATATCCTTCAAGAACTTCGACTACATCATACTCGATTGCGCCGGCTCCTGCAAGATAGTTCCATTCAGGTGACCATTTCCGATATAGAGCCCATACATCGCCTCTTCTAGGATATATAAGGAACTCTCCTTGATTGCCTTTGATCATCTTGACTTTGTGTGAGAAAACGTTAGGTGACCTGCAGATTTGGGTTTTAGCAACTCTAAACTCTCCACAAGTTTTTACAACGCCAAAACCAAGCCACTTTGCTGACATAAGCTCACTTTTTGTTTCTGCAGTAAGCCGGATGATACGCACTTTGAATGGATCTAAGGAGATAACCTTATGTATCATGAAATAGGCTCGAGGCATCCCTTCTAAATAGTCGTAAGAAGCCCATATCTGGTTATCTGCAAATGACTTCTCAGTTCTATCCTTGTCGAAGTCACCAAAATCTGGTTCAGGAACATCAATTGTAAAGGCTGAAGTGTCTTCAACAGAGTCCACACAGCATGATTCATTTGCAACATCGAGATCGTCAATTTCCATTTGCCTTCCGTTTGCGTCAGCTTCAGCAACGATGGAGGATAATTCTTGTACATTTCTGCTGATTACCCGCTTAGCTTTCTTTTTCAACAAATTATTTTGCTCCTCCTGGGAAAACTCTTTCACAATGTTGGACTTGGGAGCAGAACAGCTTGCAGTGTTGGAACCAGCAACCGCATTTTCCAACACCTTTCTTCTTTTTGGAGGATTTGTCGATGGAGCACCACCAACTCTTTTGGTGTACTCTCTACGCACAACCTCGTCTTTCCGTGGCCCGGTCTGTGCAGCGTGACCAATGTTTTTGATTCCAGTGTGCACACCACCCCACTCAAAGGAATCATGTTCACCATACACTCCATTGTTGTCTCTGCTTTTCTTTCTCCCGTCTGTCATCTGACGTATAGAGTCAAACTGGTGCTCGTGAAAGGTCTTGCGGATCGAACCTGAACCTGGAGGATCCGTTTCCACAGCTATAAACGGCTTACGACAGTTGGGACACAGGAGGTTCTGGTTTAGGTAAACACGGTGATACTCATACTGTGTTCTGCAAGTGCGGCACACAGTCCAAAAGGTTCCATCAGAAGTTGGTTTATGTGCTGATGAAGTAGACGCAGTAGCCGCAGAAGCAGAGGCATCACTTGCTCGCTTCACACCTCTCTTTGAACTCTTCGCTTTAGTAACTTTCTGAGACCCGTTGTTTGCAGGCTTTGATGATGAAGCTCCTCTTCCTCCTTCATACAATCCCAGGTTCCGTTTCAGGTCATAGTCAGCTCTCTTCGCCTTGTCGGAGAACACAGCCCACGCCTGAGAGAGAAACTTGAAGGCTTCCTCTGCTCCGATCGACTTGTTCCTATCAGGATGAAGCAGTACAGCCAACTTTCTGTAACGTTTCCTCACTGTTTCGTCGTCAGCTTCGGGGTTAATACCAAGAACACCGTAGTGGTCTATCTCCCCATGTATTATATTCTGAGCAGATAAATGTAAATCAAATGTGGCCACCATTTGCGCAATTCCATCGAGCTCTGGAGACAGGAACTGAGCCTTCAAGGCAAATTTCCTAGCCCCCGCAAAATCATTCGCTAAAAACCTCTTGATTGCAATCTCTCTAGCCCTTTTACCCTCTTCTTTATTATATTCCATTACGAGCCTCCTAATGTATACTTTCCTCTTGAAGATATCGCGGCTAAAGTTCGACTAAGTGAAACGGAAGGGAGTGACAAGACACCAATACCTGCTCATGAGAACCGAATCAACAGCTCAGTAACGAGATTGATATACAAGTTGCAGAGAAAAGAAAATAACAACCATGAGAGATGGATTGAACAGTGAATCTTCTAGATAAACTTCAGACCGCAAATACATTTGTAAGGCAGAAGCAATCCAAAGTAAAGTCAATAAGTAACCAATCAATCTCATCACAAAGTCCAAAATGATCCTACTCAAGCACACAGATTCCGAAGAGTGATACAATGGCACTACTTGACAAAAGTTGAAAATTTCACGACAGGCTAACCAATTCAATCAATACCCTTTTATCATTAACTCACAAACATGCTGCATTGAAGAATCTAGTAAAAGGGAAACGTAACCCTCATCATTAAATTGCCCATGTTCTGGATATCATGAAAAATTAGGACATGAAGTCAGCAATTATGTCCATTCATAACATAACCCTCATCATTAAATTGCCCTAAACCCTAAAGGCTTAAATTTTTTGTTCGGGACATTTGCTTGTAAGTTCTCAACAATTCAACATATATCACTCAAAAACACATTCAAACACTTCTGCCCGTAATCCCAGTGGGTGTTAACACAGAGTAGTAACCAAAAGATCGGATTTTTAAGGAGAAAAAAAAAAAAAAGCAAGGAGATGGAATCTTACATAGACGATATCGGAAAAGTGGACGGTAAGGGTATTGTTTCGTTTTTGGCGATACAAATTTTGGATTTTCCGGCGAAAATGGAATCAGAAGTAGCAAAGCGATCCCAAAAGAGAATTGGAATTATAGGAAAATGAAGGGTCGCTTGGCTTCTACTAAAATCGGCGACGATTCGAATCGATGTTTGTCACTACTTCGAATCGGTTTTGTTTTTTTTTCCCGACCGCTTAATTGATTCATTACTACAGATTACAGAAGTTTATTTATAATCGTAATTGGAAATGAAGATAAAGACACCGGTTTGTGATAAATTAAGAATAAAATGTTATTTGTGGGTTAAAATTTGAAAATACTTTTATTGCTGTATAAGATTTATATTTATTAATAGTCAATTACAATAAACTATAAATTGGTAAACTTTTTTTAGAGTCAATAGGTCAAAATCAGAAACAAATTATATTAAATAAATTAAATCTCTTTATATTTATTATAGTCAACTAGGTCAATTGTTTTATATATTGATTTTCTCGAATCTAGTAATTTCTAAGAAATATCTAACCAAAGCAAAATCAGAGCTTCCATCGAAATATTTTGCAAAAACGCAACTGAGCATTTTATCGCCAAACAATTTAACAATCCTCCATTTTATTCATAAAATCAAGCACTTCAATAGACTTCTGAACTTTATTTGGTATTTGCGGGGGCGGCTGAGGTAGCTTTACGAAGTAACAGCGACAGCTAAAGAAAACTTAGAACAGAAATTTTTTGGTTCTAATACCATAAACTATTTCATAAAATACTGAGTATATTTATTCACAAAACAAAGTATTTTTACCGCATGATATTTGCCTATTTTGTTGGAATAATATCGATGTGGGATATTAACATATATATATATTATTTTTTCTTTTAAAATAAAATTTGTTTATTATAATAGTTTTTATTTTAAAATATGTCTTTAATCAATATTTTTTTAAAGAATAGTCCATAAATATTACAAAAAAAAACTTACAAATATTACTTTCTAATAAAAAAATTTTATTTTATTTATATATATAATTAACCAAAATACGCATCTATAAATTGGATGTCTTAATCCGTCGCCTACCTCGCCTGTGTCATGGGCCGGGCCTGGATATTATTCCCAATTTAGAAAACTATAGAAACATTTTTGCAAATAATCTTTCTATACAAATATAAAATATTAATTTACAAAAATAAATAAAAGATTAACAAATCTTTGTCAATAGTCAGATGATAAAAAAGAGTGATTTGCAAGAATAATAATTTCTACAAAACAAATTAGCTATCTACCATAGAAAAGTAGTCAATTAGGTAAATTACAGTAGTCAACTGTCAGGAATGTGGAAAAATGTCGAAAAAACTCTTGCACATTAATCTATAAAAGTTGTAACATTTTCTCCTTCCTCTGCCACTAAATGACAAAACAAATATCTATTTTTTTCTCCCTCTTAACAAAACAGATAATTAATGGCCAAATTGCAACAAATTGGAAGGCAATGATCATAGGTGTCATAATTGAGTTTACATGTCATAATTGGTGTGTAATTCTGAAATTACCCTTAATGAAAAAGAGTTTGGCATTTTTGATTTTGTCTCTTTTTTTCCTATATTTCAAAATTTCGATTTTATTTTACTGGAAATTAATTAAAAATAATTTAACTATAGAAAAGAAATGAAATTCATTTTTTTCTTCTCCTCTCTTTCACGATACTGAGCTTTGGATTCGGATTTGAGCTCAGCTGAACCTTCAGCTCAAATCCTGATATATCTGACTGGGTTAAAGTAGCCACCGCATCATCCTCATCTGCACTCGTTTTCGTCCTCTTCTAGCGTCCTCAAGCTCGATAACAGAGTTATTAGGTAAGAAACAAAAATTTGGGGATTTAGAATTTAGATGCTCGAGTTGTGAAATTTTAGAGTTTGAGTATGGACATTGGATAATTTAAACACCTATATGGGTCGATGAGTTGATTTTTTATAATGAATCTAGCTGAATCAAGCTGAATCGAGGTGAATCGTAGTTCTAGGTTGTGAATGATGAATTGGGACAAGTGGTATAACTATTAGACTGATATGTTCATAATTTGCATCATTTAGGTTGCATAAATCATTCCAAATCATGTTTTATTTCATGCATTTTAGGTCCTTAGGGTTTGTTTTAGAACTTAGGAGATGCATTAGGTCCCAATGAGTCTTTGCATGTTTTGAGTGTTTATCAGGAGCATTTTGAGCTGAAAAGATGGATCCAGGAGCTGGAATGGTGATCAAGGCTTGAAAAATGGTGAAATGAGGTCTTTGGAGGTTATCGGCCATTCTCGCTGACCAGGAAGGCTTTCTCGGCCATTTTTATGTACCGCGGGAAGAGTTTACCGGCCATTTTCATGTACCGCGAGTAAAGTGTATCGGCCAAAATCTCCGGGTGCAAACATGCCTCAGAAATCGCCTGTCCGGGGAACCTTCCAGTCCGATTCAGATGGCGGGTGCTTCATAGAAGTTGGAGAGGACTTGATCACGGTTTCATAGCAAGTAGAATCACGGAATTCGGACGCCTGAGCAGGAAGTTAAGCTCGTCGGAAGGAACCCATGTATCGCTGTTGTTTTGGACCGAGCCGACGAGTTCTGAAAAATGCGAAGGACGGAGTACTCCCAGGCCGATTCAGTTTCCGGGGCCTTCATGAGAATCAGAGACATTTGAGTCCTCTTTCCAGAACATCCAAGATCATCCAGTTCGGAGCTATGAGCAGGAAGATACGGTCTCCGGAATGGACATATGTATAGACGGCCCTCTCTGATCGTGTAAATGCATTGCGAAGATGAGCCCTCCAGGAAGCCTTACACTTCCCAAGCACCAAAGCTTCCTTCACCAAAGTTGGAGATAAATGAGTCCTCTGTCTTCTACAACCGGAATGACTCAATTCGGACAAGTCTTCAGGAAGTTACACTCTCCGGAATACGAGATGGTCCAGACAGCCCATAATGACTAAGTTAAACATGCCGCGATGGAATGCCACGGTCCACACTTGGCCATGGCAACTTTTGTGCACCCTCGGCAAATGACACGATCTTCATGCCAAGGTCTACACTTGACCGTGGCAAACATACACTTGGCTGAGAAGAACTTTGCAACCATTCGGCGATTGACACGGCCTAAATGCCACGGTCTGAGGCTTGACCGTGGCAACTCCTGCAAACCTTCGGCGATTGGCACGAGCTGAATGCCACGGTCTGGGACTTGACCGTGGCAAATGAACAATTGGCTGGAGACAACTTTTACACAGCTTCGGGTTTTGGCACGGTTTCAATGCCACGGTCTGAGACTTGACCGTGGCAAACAAATACTTGGCTGGGAAGGATTTCACATACATGCGGGTTTTGACACGATCTGAATGCCACGGTCTAGGAGCTTGACCGTGGCAACTTTTACACATCTTCGGCGTTTGACACGGTGACTTGCCACGGGTTCCAGACGAAGCTTGATCAGACCGTGGCATCAAAAGGAACCAAGAACACAAGTGAAGACTTTGACACGGTCAGGATTGCCACGGTCACACCAAGAACACACCAGACCGTGGCAAACCCATCTTTGCCCACCAAGGCCGGGTCAGTACCCGGTTTGTTCCGGGTTGACCCGGTTCGCCCAAGCCTCCTTTATAAGGTTTTTAGACCTAATTTGTAAAAAACCTTGAATCTACTTTTAGTCTTCTTTCCCCTTTTGTGAAAACCTACTTAATACACTTTGTTTTAGAGAGCTTAATATCGATTTTGAAGTTTCTTTTTATCCTGTTCCATCATATCTTATCATCAAATCAAACTTCTAATCATGATTAACAATACATCTTGCAAAGGATTTAGTGTGTTGATCATGATTAGTGAGTAGTCACCTTAATGAGGTTCTAGATGTATAGGTTAGGGTGCTAAAGTGTTAGATTAGGAGTGCTTAGGGCTAGATTCATTGATTCATTTCTCTAAACAACTGTTCTCTATGCTAGATCCTTGATAATCACTTGAGATCTAGCAACTGGGAATTTCATGCACCAAAAGTGTTTGATGAAATTCCTGAAAGAGTTGTATTAGAGGTTTAAGCATTTTTCTGCATGATGATGTATTGTTATTTGCTTGAATGATCATTGAGAACTGTTTATTAATGCATATTGATTCATATTTCACAAATGGGAATTTGGTTTGAAAATGGATTAGTATAGGGGTTAATACCTTCATGAGAGGATTAACCTAGATTAGAGTTTTTAATCATTTGAATCATGTCTCATCATTGTCATTAGCATTTCTAGTTTAGCACCAAGCACCCTAACCAACTATCATGTCTAGAATCTCATGCCTCCATCATAGTATATTCACATCATTTGTCATTGCTTAGTTCTTGTTTTGTCATTGTCATTAGTCTTTAATCCAGTTTATGTTTGTAGTTGTCTCTAGATTAATCAAAACCCACTCTTGTTTACTTGAATTAAGAACTTGATCATATAGCTTAGTGTCTATCACCACATTCTTGGATTGATTAACCTCTTTGTGCTACATTGACAAGGGGATTGATAGCCCTGAGACCCTAAAAAGTCTTGTCTATCAATTGGCGCCGTTGCCAAATTGTGGTTGATTAGCATTAAGCTCTGATCTGTTCTTGAGATCAAGTGCTTACTTTCTTGTTTTTACTGATTCCTTTCAAGTTCTGTTTGTGATTTCAGGTGTATGAACACCAGGTCTAGATCAAGAAGCTGTGGCCCACCTTTCCCTCTCAACGACAATATCAATCTTTTGGTACCAAGGAGGAGAAGGGACAGACGTGGTAGACAGATTGATCAGGCTGAGATGGCAGAACAAGGAGATTACGTGGTAGACATAGAACAACCAGTTCATGAGCAACAGGCTCAAGGAAATGGAGCTGGTAATGGAGTTGGTCAAGGGTTTCATCAGGGTAATGTTCATCAGGAACAAGTGCACCAACAAGCTTATGTCCACCAAGGACAAGCTCAAGCTCATCAACAGAGGCATCAGGCCAATGTTCAGCAAAGACAACAAGTGCACCACCAACCCCACCCTTTCCAACAACAGCAAAGAAGATATGAGCAACCCCAAGTCTATGTTGGAGAGAATGACAGGGCCAATGCTCATCAGTATGGAGCTGGTATTCAGGCACCACCTGTGCAAAACAACAACTTTGAAGTGAAGGCATCATTGCTGAATATGGTCCAGAATTCAAAGTTCCATGGGTTAGCAATGGAAGATCCATTGGAACACTTGGATCAGTTTGATAAGGTGTGTGATCTGACCAAGATTAATGGAGTTTCAGAAGACAGCTTCAAGCTAAGACTATTCCCATTCAGTCTTGGTGACAAAGCTCATCAATGGGAGAAGAATCTTCCAAGAGGCTCCATTCAAACCTGGGAGCAATGCAAGCAAGAATTCTTATCTAAGTTCTTCTCCACCTCAAGAACTGCAAAACTGAGGAACAAAATCTCTAGCTTCACTCAGCACAGCAATGAGAGTTTTGGTGAAGCATATGAGAGATTCAGGAGCTACACAAACCAATGCCCACACCATGGGTTTAGTGAGGCTTCTCTTCTCAGCACACTTTATAGAGGAGCTCTTCCCAAGATTAGAAACCAGCTGGATACTGCTTCCAATGGGAACTTTCTGGGTAAAGAGATACATGCTGCTTTAGAGCTAGTGGAGAACTTAGCATTGAGCAATGATACTTATGGTGAAGACTATGACAGATCAAATAGGTCTGAAGGTTCAAGCTCAGAACAGAGGCTCACTAGGGAAGTTAAGGAGTTGAGAAGTGAATTAGACAAGTTGAAGTTGGTAACTCACAAGCCAATGCATTTTGTTGGAGAGTATGAAGAACCATCTCAAATCTTTGAGAACATAAGTGAAGAGGGTCTCACCCAAGAGGAGCTGAACTACATTGGGAATCAGAGATTCCAGAGATATCAATATGGTAATGCCAATCCAAACCTCTCTTACAGGAACACCAATGTAGCTAACCCACAAGACCAGGTGTATCCCAACTCTCAAGCTCCACAGAACTTTGTTCCCAAGAACAACTTTCAAGGATCTTTTCAACCAAAAAATCAGTTTGCTCAGAATCAAGGTTTTGGTCAGCAACAGCAACCATTTCAGGGCACTGGTTACACCTCACAACAGCAAAAGGCACCACCAGGGTTTGGTCCACCACAGTTCCAACAGCAGGCGCCGGTTCAACAACAGTTCCAGCCACCAATGGTTCAACGGAGCCACAGATGGGTACAGATATGGTTGGTATTCTGCAACAACTACTTCAGGGTCAACAGATCTTTGCAAGTAAGAATGCAGCTATGCAGCAGGAAATCAAGGAACTGAAGCAAAACCAAGCATCAAGCTCAAGGAACCAAGGCCACCTACCTGGAAAACCAGAACCCAACCCCAAAGAATATGCTAAGGCCATTACACTGAGGAGTGGAAAGGAGTTACCTGGTATTGAGAACAACAATGTGATCATTGAGGACAATGATCAACCTGAGGGGGAGGCAGCCTTAAAGGATGATCAAGTTGCTGAGAAACCAAGGACAGAAAAGGGTAAAGAGGTAGCAAAGGAACCAGAACCAGAGAAGAAATATGTGCCACCACCTCCATACCAACCCAAGCTCCCATTTCCAGGGAGATTTAAGAAGCAACTAGTGGACAAGGCAAGAGCTGTATTTGAGAAGGCACTCAAGGAGATACCACTCACAATGCCTCTCATTGATGCATTCTTAATGATGCCAAAGATGGGGAAGTTCTTGAAGGATGCCATTCTGAACAAGACAAAAGAGCTTCAAGGCATGGTAGTACTAAGTCATGAATGTAGTGCTATCATTCAGAAGAAGTCCATTCCAAGGAAGCTAACTGATCCAAGGAGCTTCACACTCCCTTGTGCCATTGGACCTCTTCTATTCTCTGGATGTCTTTGTGATCTAGGAGCATCAGTCAGCTTGATGCCATTCTCAATAGCTAAGAAGCTAGGCTTTAGAGTCTTCAAACCTGCAAGGATCTCTCTTATCCTTGCAGATAGATCAGTTAGATTGCCTGTTGGTATGTTGGAAGATATACCTGTCAAGATAGGTGGTTTTGAGGTTCCAACAGATTTTTGTGCTGGAAATGGATGAGGAACCAGTAGATCCTCTTATCTTGGGCAGGCCATTCTTAGCAACTGCAGGAGCTATTATTGATGTGAGAGGTGGGATAATAGAGCTTCAACTTGGGTCTGAAAAGCTCAAGTTTGATGTGAATGAGATGATGAAGAAACCCACCATTGAAGGTCAATGTTTCTATGTGGAGACAATGGATCAGTTGGCTGATGAGTTGCTTGAGGAGCTGAACACTGAGGATCCTCTTCAAGCTGCTCTAACTCAAGAACAAGGAGACAATGGGCTCTTAGCTGAAGCAAGTGAAGGGTATAAGCTGTATCTGGACAATGCAAGAGAGCTGGGTCCTGAGACAAGGTTTTTGGAGCTGGAACAAAGTGGCTCTGAAGTTTTTGCTATCAAGGAATCAGTCACCAGCCAAAGCAGCTTGGACCAGGATTGGAATGAGGCTGATGCACCCCCTGTTGAGCTCAAGCCTCTACCAACAGGGCTCAGGTATGCTTTCTTAGGCTTAAAATCCACATATCCTGTCATCATCAATGATAGCCTATTAGAGGATCAAGAGAGTGCATTGCTTAATGAAATAAGAAAGTTCAGGAGAGCCATAGGGTATTCTTTGGCTGATATTAGAGGGATCTCTCCTGACATTTGCACCCACAGGATCCACCTAGAGGACCAATCTATGTCCTCTATTGAGCATTAACGACGACTTAACCCCAACCTTAGGGAAGTGGTTAAGAAGGAGATACTAAAACTTCTTGAGGCAGGGATAATTTACCCAATCTCTGACTCAAGATGGGTGTCTCCTGTTCATGTTGTGCCCAAGAAGGGTGGGATCACAGTGGTGAAAAACGAAAAGGATGAACTCATAGCTCAAAGAACCATAACCGGCCATCGCATGTGCATTGTCTATAGGAAATTGAATTCTGCTTCTAGAAAAGATCATTTTCCTTTACCATTCATTGATCAAATGCTTGAAAGGTTAGCTAATCATCCTTATTTTTGTTTTCTCAATGGGTACTCTGGATTTTTTCAAATTCCCATAGATCCAAGAGATCAAGAGAAAACAACATTCACATGCCCTTATGGCACTTATGCTTATAGGAGAATGCCTTTCGGTTTATGTAATGCACCGGCCACTTTTCAAAGATGTATGATGCACATTTTCTCTGACATTATTGAAGAGAAAGTTGAGGTGTTCATGGATAACTTTAGTGTCTATGGCTCCTCCTTCTCGGATTGTCTCTCTAATTCGACACAGGTGTTGGAGAGATGTGAGCAACACAACTTGGTGCTGAACTGGGAGAAGTGTCATTTCATGGTGCAAGAAGGGATAGTTCTTGGGCATAAGATATCTGAGAAGGGTATTGAGGTTGATAGAGCAAAGGTAGAAGTAATGGTGAACCTGCAAACCCCCCACTTCAGTTAAAGGGATAAGGAGCTTCCTTGGGCATGCAGGGTTTTATAGAAGATTCATAAAGGACTTCTCAAGGATTGCCAGGCCCTTAACAAGACTGTTGTGTAAGGAAGTGGATTTCATCTTTGATGCTGAATGTGAAGAAGCCTTTAAGTTGATCAAGGAGGCATTGGTTAGTGCACCAATAGTTCAGGCACCAGACTGGTCACTTCCTTTTGAGGTCATGACAGATGCATCTGACTTTGCTGTTGGAGCAGTGCTTGGGCAAAAGAAAGACAAGAAGCTGCATGTGATCTACTATGCTAGTAGAACACTTGACTCTGCACAAGAGAAGTATGCTACAACTGAAAAGGAAATGCTGGCAATAGTTTTTGCCTTTGATAAGTTCAGAAGCTACCTGGTGGGATCAAAAGTCATAGTATACACTGATCATGCAGCCCTCAGGTATTTGATGACCAAGAAAGATGCCAAGCCAAGGCTGTTAAGATGGGTTTTATTGCTCCAAGAGTTTGATATGGAAGTGCTTGATAAAAAGGGCATTGAAAATGGGGCTGCAGACCATCTCTCAAGGCTGAGGATTGAAGAAAAGGTCCCCATAGATGATGCTTTGCCTGAAGAGTCTCTGATGGTGCTCCATTCCTACTTGGAGTTTGAGGAAGTAGAGAGCATTCAAGAAAGGAGGATGCCTTGGTTTGCAGACATAGTGAACTATCTTGCATGTGGGGTGGAGCCTCCTGAATTAGATGCTTACAAGAGGAAGAAGTTCTTCAGAGATGTCCAGAGATACCATTGGGATGAGCCCTACCTCTATGTTCTGAACAAGGATCAGCTGTATAGAAGGTGTCTTGCTGAAGAGGAGATGCAACCTGTGTTGCAAGAATGTCATGGTTCTGCTTTTGGAGGTCACATGGGGGCGTTCAAAACTGTGGCCAAGGTTCTTCAGAGTGGGTTTTGGTGGCCTACAATGTTCAAAGATGCTCAGTTGGTGGTTTCAGCATGTGATGCCTGTCAGAGGCATGGGAACATATCAAAGAGGAGTGAGATGCCTCAAAACCCCATTCTAGAAGTTGAGATCTTTGATTGCTGGGGGATTGACTTTATGGGGCCCTTCATTTCATCCTATGGGAATCAGTACATACTTTTTGCTGTGGACTATGTGTCCAAATGGGTTGAGGCCATTGCTTCCCCTACCAATGATTCCAAGGTTATAGTGAAGCTGTTCAAGAGCATCATCTTCCCAAGGTTTGGAGTTCCAAGGGTTGTCATCTCTGATGGAGGATCCCATTTTGTGAACAAGACTCTGGAAGGTTTATTGAGGAAGCATGGAGTGAAACACAAGATAGCTACTCCTTATCATCCTCAAACTAGTGGCCAGGTTGAAGTATCCAATATACAGATCAAAGCCATTCTTGAGAGGACTGTTAGCTCAAGCAGAAAAGATTGGAGCAAAAGGCTAGATGATGCATTGTGGGCTTATAGGACTGCCTTTAAAACTCCAATTTGGACATCACCATACAGTCTACTATATGGGAAGAGCTGCCACCTTCCTGTTGAGCTGGAATACAAGGCTATGTGGGCTGTGAAGTTGCTGAACTTTGATATCAAGACAGCTCAGGAGAAAAGGATCATGCAACTCCATGAACTTGAGGAGATTAGGCTTGAGGCTTTTGAAAGCTCAAAGATCTATAAGGAGAAGACCAAGGTTCTGCATGATAAGAAGATTCTGAAGAGAGAGTTCAAGGATGGTGATTTGGTGTTGCTGTTCAACTCTAGACTTAAGTTGTTTCCAGGAAAGCTTAAGTCTAGGTGGTCTGGACCTTTCAAAGTTCTTGAAGTGAGACCTTATGGTGCCATACTCTTAGAAGGGAAGAATGGTCAGGAATTTGTGGTAAATGGACAGAGAATCAAGCATTACTTAGTTTCACAAGGGAAGGAGGAAGCTACATCAGTTCCCCTTCTTGATCCACCAGCCTGTTAATCAGGTTTCCAAAGTCAAACTTAGAGACTTTAAACAAAGTGCTCTTGGGAGACACCCCAAGTTTATCCTTTGTAAATATGCTTTTGATCTTTTGATTTCTTTCTTTTTATGTTTTAGGATGTTTTGATGGGTTTGTTTAGTGTCTACAGGTGTTAGGTGTGAGTCTGAACCCTTGGAAAAGTGAATGCAGAATGAAAAGAGATGAAGGAATGGAGACAAGCTTGTGCTCGGCCTTTGACATGGGCACCGGCCACGGTCAAGAACAGGCGTGGCAAGTCTCTTTGTGCTGCCACGGGGAGATAATCACGGTCTCAAGGCCAGGTCGTGGCAAAAGAAGCATATGTTCGGCGAATGCCACGGCCTTGTGACATGGAACGTAGGCGACCGTGGCAAAAGAACAAGAAGAATGGACAAGGCTCGGGGTTTGGCACTAGGGGTTGCCACGGGATAAAGACCTGGCCGTGGCAAAGCAAAGGTGAAGCGGCCAATGTTCGTGGGATGACACGGTCTACAAGACACGAGTTCAAGACCAGGCCGTGGCAACATGATGATGGTATGTCCAATGCTCGGGGTTTGACACGAGGACATTGCCACAGGAAGAAGCTAAGGCCGTGGCAAAATGAAAATGAAATGTGCAGTGATCGGTCTTTGACACGAGGAGTTTGCCACGGGGAAACAACCAGACCGTGGCAAGAGAAAGGAAAAGAGACGTAGTTCGGGGTTTGCCACGGTCTGAAGACACGGCCAAACCAAGACCGCGGCAAAGAGGAAGCATTCTCGAGTTGTAGACACGGGCACGTGACACGGTCAAAGAGGCGCGATCAAAAAAATTTGAATTCCAGTTGACCGTACGGACGTTGACCGGTCAACAGACGCGCCAAGCCAGCTGTTCCCCACCTCTCCTTCGTCTTCATCGAGAGTTTGCTCCCTTTCTCTCCATTCTTAAGCTTTAAACCTTCATATCTCTCTCGTTGCTGCATCAAATTGAGTGATTCCAACTGCATTGAACTCGTAATCCTGTCTAGTTTCTTGTTGCACATCCGTTTTACACTCGAAACTTGAAGATTCCAAGGTATTTAATCTGTTAAAACTCACCTTTTCCATGCTTTAGAGTACTGTTCATGAACAGAGAAAAACAAATGGAATCGATTTTAATGGGCTTCTTGATACCTTGGAATCATTTTGTGAGTATTGTGCAAGTAGAATGGATAGGGATTTCATGAATCTTGCTTGAGAATGACCTGTTCTTGGAATTTTTGAGAAATTTTCTTGAAAATCATCATGTGAATCGATTTTTTTTTAGAAATTGTGTTTCAAGCTGAACTCTTTGTGTGCATTGCTTCTTGCCATTGCTTTGAGTTTAATGAGTTTTTAATCAGCTTGAAATACCTTCTTTTAAAGAGAAATCGATTGGTGCTGCTCATGAACTTGGTGAATTTTTGAAAAACTTTTGTTGTTCTCTTGCTTTGGTGCTTACAATGGTTTGAGAAAATGCAGGATGGCAGGAACAAAAAGACAAGCAGCCGTGGACAAAGCCAGAAAAGAGAAAGCTGGAGCTTCAGAGGATAAGATTCTGCCTTTTGGGCACAAAGTTTTCAAGAAACAGAAAAGGCAGAGAAAGCCAAAGGATCCAGCTGAAAAGAAAACAAAGAAGGTTGCTGCGCCAAAGAAAACAAAGGCCTCCACTTCAAAAACTTCTGGTAACGAGTTGGCATTGGTTGAGGTCGTTCACAGGGCAGGAAAAGAGGTGGCTGTGGCTGAGGATGAAGAAGGAACAGAGAGTGACCCTGAAACAGCATTGAAGCGGGTTAAGAAAGCAAAGACAAAGTTCTGAGGACAGTGAACCAACCTTTGATGACTACTTTGCTATGTTCAGGGGTGTAAAAGTGCTGCAAACCAAGTTCCCTGATATGGAGTTGCTGTGGAAGATGGGAATTCTTGAAGAAGTTCAGCTCATTTTCAACAACATGGGCTTTGGTGGATTCTTTGAGATGAGAGATGTGGCTCATGATGGTGTTACACAAGAGTTTCTTGCATCCCTTCAAGTTTGTGGATATGGCCCAAGAGATGAAAGAATCAATGAGGGCAATGGTCTTGGGCACATAGAGTTCACAACAGATGGTGCACAACACCATGTCAGCTTCAAAGAACTTGATGAGATCTTTGCTTTTCCAAGACCTGCACAAGAAGAGACAGTGAAGTTCACATACCCTGATCACATGATCACTGACTTGTGGGACACAATTGCTTTTGGAAGCTTCAGAGGAGGAAGATGCAAGAGCTCATGGATAAGAAACCCAGCAATCCGATATGCTCACAAGGTGCTTTGCCAAATGTTCTTTACCAAGCACAATGATGGAGTGGTGCATCTAGCTGACATGGAGCTATTGGGTATGGGTCTTCATCCTCTCATCAGTCACTTAAAGAGCAAGAGAGAATTTCGCCTCCCACATTACATCCCTTCTAGTGGTGCATTCTTAGCACGTCAAATGCTGATTTACAAGGACATTGCTTGGAGTGAGGGTAAAAGAAAGAAGCTCACTAAGTTGCACAATGGATGGCTAGTGACAAGGATTCTGAAAGCAAGAGGTTTTGTCTTTGATGATGTTGAGGCCAGGCCTGAGTTGATTGATGAAGCTACCCTCACCAAGGTTGGGTTTTTAAAAGCAAGCAATGGTGAAAACTTCTTGTACACCTTCAAGCTCTTACAAGATGAAAAGGTTCATGTTCTGTTGCCACACCCAGCCATCACCACTCTCACAGCAAGGTACAATGTCTCTTTTATTGTCCTAAAAGATCAGCTCTACAACTCAGCCATTCACCCTCCAATTCCCAAATGCAAGAAGCCCGTTAATTCAAAGGGAAAAGGGCCAGTTGAAGAGCAGAGCACAACCGCCGGTTGTGAGTATGAAGAGACAAGAGACTTTGAGAGGAGGATGGGAGCAGGGAGGTATCACTTTGACCCTTACTTTTGGGGTGAGCCTGATTATCACACAAGGAAGCTGTATTCCAGAGTTAACACCCTTCAGAAATGGTGCAAATGGCAAGACAAAACCATCACCAAGCTAGTTGACTGTGTTAGGCAGCTTAAGAAGAAGGTTAAAAAGCTCACAGCTCCAGCCACCTCACCCAAACAAGATACAAGAGAAGAGGTGGGAGAAAGCTCAGCTGCTCATGACCTTGTGCTACCACCAGGGAAAGAAGATTGGGTGAACCCGGCCACAGCGTTCCAACCAGACTCACCTGAGGGCAGTCCACCTAGATACTAAACTCCATCATGTTCCACCTCCAACCCATCCCACTACTTGGGATCAGACCTCAGCGATTGAGGTAAACACTCAAAACCTTGTAAATAGCATGTAGACTTTCTTTTTCTTTCGCATTTTCCTTGTTTACTTTGTTTTAACTCCTTTGTCATGCTTCTATAACACAAGGGACTGTGTTATTTAAGTGTGGGGGAGGAGTTTCATCCTTTACTAATCATGTTTTCTCTTTTCTTATCTTACACTTTGAGTCTTGGGTCACATTCTAGTTGCATATTCATCTAAGTGCATATAAAAACCAAAAAAATGGAAAAATCAAAAAAAAAAAAATTCACAAAAAAATGATCATGTAGTTGCATTCTCATTTTTAGGATTGAGTCTAGATTGCATATGCATATAGGTTGCATCTTGCAGGGAGTAATGATAGGTTTCCTAGAGAGTACATCACTTTGAGAACTTGAACTAAATATGCTTGTGAATCTTTTTCTATGCTTGCAAAGTCTGAAATGATCTGAATCTGAGAAGCAAGTTTGAAATGAACTCAACTCTAATTAAGTGAGAACCTTGAACTTGACTTGAAAATATCTTGTGATGCATTGTTTGAAAAAGCTTGTGGATACCGATATACATACTTGAGCTAGAACCATTGTTTTTACCACTCTTTTTCCTTAGCTCAAGTAGCTGAATCCACATCATGGATCAGTTCCCATACCTTGAACCCATCCTTCTTTCAAGCCAATGTTTGTGTGTGAATTGAAAGGCCACCTTGGATCAAACTTAGCAGAAAGTGTTAGGTTTAGAGCGACAAGGGCAGGTCTCATTGAGTGCTGTGTTCCAACATCAAGGAACTGAGAGTTTTGGCGAGAAATAAGTGTGGGGGAAAAGACTTGTTGGTGAGTGGAAAAAGGTGAGATGAGTGGGAGAGAGAGAGTGAAAATAGCTAGGGAATGAAAGAAAAATAAATCAGTCTTGGTGTTTTGAGAAACTGAGCTCTGGTTTGTTGAAAAGAAAGAGTCTAGCCTCTAAGTAAAAAAAAAGGAAGAAAAGAAGCCAAAAGGCTCAAATGTTTTGAAAAGAAAGAAAGAAGAGGCTAGAGGTTGTAAAAGAAAAAGAGCTGTGTAAAGTTTGAGTTCCAAGACTTGAGAGTGAAAGTGAAAAGTAAATCCCCTAGTGAGAGGAAAATGAGAGTGAAAAGTGAGGATTTTTGAGCAAGTGAGGAAGCTTTGAGTAGAAGGTGGGGTGTGATGAGTCTTTGCCCTTGTATGCATAGGTTGCTTTTTACCTTTAGCATTCTGCCAAAGTTTGATCATTCATAGAGAGATCCCTTTGCTGCATTAAACCCACTTGAACATTGATGAGATCATTTTAATCTCATAGCCTCTCCCTAGCCAAGCCAGCTTGTTTAAGCATTGCATCATGAGATCCACCTGATAAAAGCTTAATGAATGTGAAAGAGTTGAGAGAGAGAAGAACTTGTGGAGATTCCTTGCTGAGTTGATATATATCTGAGTATGACTTTGCATTGCATAATTGACCATGAACTTGAATTCTCATTGTGATCACTTCTCTCAAAAAGGAAATCTGAACTCCCATGCATTCAACCTCTTTCTCTCATTTGTTCTTGTTTGCTTGAGGACAAGCAAAGGACAAGTGTGGGGGAGTTGATATGTTCATAATTTGCATCATTTAGGTTGCATAAATCATTCCAAATCATGTTTTATTTCATGCATTTTAGGTCCTTATGGTTTGTTTTAGAACTTAGGAGATGCATTAGGTCCCAATGAGTCTTTGCATGTTTTGAGTGTTTATCAGGAGCATTTGGAGCTGAAAAGATGGATCCAGGAGGTGGAATGGTGATCAAGGCTTGAAAAAGGGTGAAATGAGGTCTTTGGAGGTTATTGGCCATTCTCGCTGACCAGGAAGGCTTTCTCGGCCATTTTTATGTACCGCGGGAAGAGTTTACCGGCCATTTTCATGTACCGCGAGTAAAGTGTATCGGCCAAAATCTCCGGGTGCAAACATGCCTCAGAAATCGCCTGTCCGGGGAACCTTCCGGTCCGATTCAGATGGCGGGTGCTTCATAGACGTTGGAGAGAACTTGATCA